TATATATATATGCTGATCGTTCAATGTAATTCAGCTAGAAAAAAAAAAGAACTAGGAAATGAACCCAACCTTCTGTGTACTTTTCATTAATTTGCTCCTTTGAAATTAAAACTAAGCCCCTCTTTGTGTGCTATAGAATGATCTGCTCTCAAAAACTACAATTTGCATGTAATCCCAGCATTCCAGGAGGCTGAGGCAGAAGGATCACAAGTTCAAGTCCTGCCTGAACAACTTAGCAAGACCTCTGTTCTCAAAATAAAATATAAAGGATTGGGAATGTAACTCAGTGGTAGAGCGCCCCTGGGTTTGATCTCTAATACTGAAAAAAAACAGACTACAATTCCTCTCTTCACACTGAGTTTAATAGCAGGGTTTTCCCACCCTAGCTTTCAATAAAGTCTTTAGGAATACAACTGCCATAATACAATGAGATTTAAAAAAGAAAAGAAAAGAAACTATCCAACATAGGAAAGGAAGATTCCTAGAAATCCCTAATCCTCAAATTTAGAAAGCTGAAGAAAAACCCACTAGTGATCAGGATTTCTCTCTAAATCCCACATTTCAAAAAATACAGAAAAAAGCAAACCAAGTCTAGGGAAGTTGAAATGGCACTGGAAACTGTATATGCTGCTGGTGTGTAAGTTGGTACAACTCATTTTTTAAAATAGCAACATAAAATGAATCATAAAAATGCTCTTACCCTATAATCCAGCAATATCACTCCTGGGAATTTATCCTAGACAAGTTATTCAACAGAGGAAGAAAAAACTATAAATACAAATGTTCCTTGTATCCTTGTCTCTAACAGCAGAGAATACAATACAAGAACAAAAATAAATTAAAAAGTTCACAAGAAAATGGCTTAATAAAGAATATGCTGAAGACAAATTACTCTTCAGCTGTTAAGAATAATCTTGAACTCTAGGTAGTGACACAGAAAAAAATGTCATGGAATGAAACAAACATCAGACTACAAAAGAATGAATATACTATGATCATCAACCTTGCATACAGCTATATCTCCATGTAAACAAGAGCTGAAAAGTGATATTTAGAAATGAAAACAGTATTGTAAGATGGTATGAATTTTTTTGTTGTTCTTTGAGACAAGGTCTTGCTGTGTAATTCAGGTTAGTCTTGAACTCACTATGTAGGCCCAGGATGGCCTCAAACTCATGGTGATCCTCCTGCCTCAGCCTCCCAACTGCTGGGATTACAGGTGTGCACCACCACACCCAGCCTGGTATGGTTTGAAGTGTGTATACTTATTGGGTTTTTTTCACAATTTTAATATTGTACTGCTTTTTCTATTACATATTAATTTTTAAAATTCTTTCTAAAATAAATTTGGATTTCCGGGCTTTTCTCTAATTCTCATTTAGGAAGGAAAAAAAACACAGAAACTCTGGTTCTCCCCATCTTGAATTAACAATATTCTACTTAAAACAACAACAACATATACTTTTTTTTTTTTTTTTTTGGTACCAGGGATTGAACTCCGGTCCTTGCGCTTTCAAGGCAGGCGGTGGAACCACTGAGCTAAATCCCTGGCCTGACAACAAATACTTCTTAATGTCCAAATCTAAAGGTGGAGAAAAAGAAACAGGAAGCAACCACGTTATTGTTGCTGTTTGAAGGACTGATGATGAAATCAGGAACCCAGAGGGGACAGAAAGGGAGAGAGACCACCAGGATCTCAGGGTAGCGGTGCATTCCCAAGGTTAACTGGAGAGGGGTCTGAGGTAGACAAAGTTCAGCACCACATTTACCTGCCTCATCAGGCTGCTGCCTGCCATCATTTCCCTTTAGCTCATTTCACAGGGAAATGTGAGGCTCTGACTCTCTGAGGGATCTCAGGTATCTGAGATGTCACAAGGCCACACTCTACTTCAGAACAGATGTCACAGAGCACAGCTCTCAGGGCTCATGTCCAAGGTCATGCCCCATGTGCCTGGTAGGGAGGGACAGGTCACCTAATGCCTAATGTTTGACTGCTGTCTAACTTTTCAGATAGAAACCTCAATTCTGTCTGTTCTCTTGAGGCTGGATGACCTAGAGAATATACATCATAGGAGCCACATGTTTAAGTCACATAATTGTCTCAAGAAGTAGAGGGAGCTGGCTAGAAAACCACAGCCAGACAACTGTCCAGGGTGCTCCTTCTACCCTGGAAATTAACCCATCAATGAGGAAAATAGGAGGTGAACACAGAACCTAACACAGGGTCCTGGTCCCACTCAGGGAGGCCTTCTGTTCAACCAGGGCCCTAAAGGATAAGATGTAGCTCATCTGAAATAAGAGGAAACTATTCAGAAGCAGTGTCCTAGCATCCAGAACTCTACATCCACCCTTTCACAGTCTTCATTCCTGCTCCAGGCCCCCATTACAACACATTCCGAGGCTCTGCCTAACTTACCTCCATTGACAATCACCTTTCCCAGGGTAGTTCTGAGTAGCTCAGCTTGTTCCTTGTACACTTATAGGCCAGTCTTGATGTCAAACAAAGGATGATTTCTTCTTAGATTTTGCCCCCTCCCGACCCCTCTTTCTGTTGGTCTCAGGCTGAGGGAGTAATAAAGACCATAATGCTGTGAGGTCAGACAGGGAGTGGCCATTGAAGCAAAAGCAGAGGAACTGGACAGAGGATTAATGTTGGGCCAGACTCTGTATCTTACAGCCTCTGGCAAGTCAACCTAATTCTTCTGTGCCTATCTGCTCATGAATAAAATGAAACTACTAATACTGAGTTCTTAGGAAGACGCATTTGTAAATTGCAAGGTTCTCTGAAAATGTTGGGACTACATGGACTGAGTGTTCTGAGAAGCAGAACATTAAATGAACCTTACAAGTTGAGGAAAATTCAGGATATATGTTCAGGAAGAGGATGGGCACTCCAGGCATGAAAAATGGCACAAGTAAAGGCAAAATGGAAAAGAGAAGTACTGTACCAAGTACGGCCACATTAGAAAGTTTTGTGTAGTGGAGAAGCTGAGATAAGGTAAGAGAGAAGCTGAGGTAAAGTAGGCAGGTTGTATTCTCTTGATAATTGGGAGCTGTCGAACTTTGTGATCACATAAAAGAATGAAAATCATGTTTGAGGAGAACTTCGTGGAGGGGTGAAGGACAGAGTTTAGAATATAAGCAGAGTGATCACAAGAGGATCTGAAAACTCCAGAGAAAAGATAGGATGAGGCCTGAATGAAGGCAGTGGTAGTAGGGCTGAAAAAGAGGAATTGAATTTGAGAGATACAGTGACAAAAGGACGATGATAGTGTAATTAGAGGAAGAGAGGGTTGGGGTCAATTTCAGGTCTCCCTGGCATCATTATCTGGGTGGACAGTGGTGCCACTCATCAAGATATAGAATAAAGAAGGTACCAGTGAGCAGAGATGACCGAGCTCTTCGAATATGTTTATCTGTTGAATACATGGGATTCTAACCAGTAATTAAGTGAATGTATGGGTGTGGTGCTCAACAATAGAGATAGGAATTGAAGTCACCCAAAGACAAGGACAGAAGGTGGAGGAACATCAACATTTGAAGTGTGGACAACTTAACAGAACCACAGAAATCACCACTTGGCAATTGGCTCACTGATGACCTAAGATAAGAGTAATCTCTGAAACAGTGGAACCTAATGACAGATTGCAGTGGATTTAATAATGAACAGAAAGCTAACAAATGGGCAGGATTTGTAGGTTACTCTTTAGAGGACCTGACCGTACAGAAAAAAGCAAGGGTAACAGACGGAGAATTTAGGATATTTTAGCTAGAATATACATTAGCTGAAGAGAGAAAGGCAGAGAAAAATATACTCTCACACACAGGGAGAGTAATTGAGGGGATGGAATATTGAACACTGGTTGGTGGAACTGACTAAACAGAAGAATGCCTTTTCTACTACTTAAGAAATGCTCACTTAAATAGGTACTACATGCCAGGAACTAGAATTGCCTGTAGTAAACACAAATCCTTGAGCCCTTAAAAGAATTTGGTCTAGTAGGGAAGACAAACTTAATATGGGAGGTTCGTACCAGACTTTGTGGTAGCACAGATGAGCAAGTGTGCATCTGCGACTGAAGGGGTTAGTTGGGCCGGGCCTCTGTGGTCCAGGAGAGGGAGGAGTCAGGTGCGTCCCAACCAGGTTCCGGAGAAAATTTGAACGTGGCATTTATAGAGTATTTACAAGGTCAAGGTCCCTGAAACACAACAGCTGTTACAGCTTGAGGGGACGCCCGTGATGATCGCACAAGGACAAAGGAGAAAGGAAAACAAAAGTGCCCACTCAGGAAGGTGGGCGACAGGTCCTGGGGGTGGGAGATAAAGCAGAGGCGTCCAAGAGCTTCAGACAACACTTGGGCACACCACAGGGATAAAGAGCTTCCAGCTGAGACTCTAAAAACTCAACCGCGTTGTGACGGCGAAAACTAAATACAAGAAACTCGCGAGACCAAAGAGGCCCCGCCCGAGGCCGGCCCCAGGCCGGAAGTGAGTCACATTGGCCCCGCCCCCGCGTTCGATACCTCGCGAGACTTTGCGGAAATTCCCTCTTTCGTCTCTGCCGCCGACATGGTAAGTGTTTCGTTGCTTGGCTCTGGTTCATTAGCGGTGGTGGTGCGGAGCCCTGCTCCCTTGCCTTTCGGTCACCCACCTACGACTCTGGCCAGGCCTTCCAGGCTGCACGTGGCCGATCGCAGGCCAGGATGGTCGGCGTGGGCCCGGGGCCGGGAGCCTGCGGCCGCGTGTTCGACCCGGCTTTCGGATCTCTGAGACCGCGCGCCGCCCAGCTCGGGCTGAGCGGCCTCGGGCCAGTCGCTGGCCTAAGCCTCGCCGAACGCTCCAGAAGTCAGTCTGAAGGCCTGCGGGCCCATCTGACTGGCGAGCGTTGGCCCCCGCACTTCTTAGGCCCTAACGTTAAACGCCTTTTCCCACACAGCCATCCAGACTGAGGAAGACCCGGAAACTTAGGGGCCACGTGAGCCACGGCCACGGCCGCATCGGTAAGTGCAGGCTCCTCCTAGTCTTCCTTGGGCTCTGTATAGTGTTTAGTTGGCACATTAGTAACTTGAAAGTGAACTCGAGTAAGACCTTTCAGCAGTCCAGTTGGACTGAATTGGACAGCTGTTTATTTTTTCTCTGTGGAGCCTCGAGGACTCCTATTTTAGAGAATTTATCAGGGTGATAAAAACTATTAAACAGCCAAGTATTGAATTAGTTGAAGACAAGAGGGAACACAAAAGATGCTTAAACTTGTAATCTTGAAGGAATGGTAATGCCGCAAAGGAGGTACTGTGGGCCATGAGCAAGGTAATGTTGAGGGGCTAGAGAAAGGTGTGTTAGCCATGTAGGTTTATATTCCTGCAGGCAAGCACCGGAAGCACCCAGGAGGCCGGGGTAATGCTGGTGGCATGCATCACCACAGGATCAACTTCGACAAATAGTGAGTGTTCCTTGGATTGTACTCTGGCACGGCTTGGGAGGTAACTGCAGACAAGGATAACTTAGAATCTCTGTAGAAACAAGCCTCTTAAAACCCTTGCCTGTTGCTGGCTTTTTTACCAAGTTAACATTTGACATGATCTGAGAGAACTTGTCATCGAGGCTAGAGTCACGCTTGGGTACTGCCTGTTGCCTTAGTGTGCTAGAGTCCTCGAAGAGTAACTGCTGACCTTATTCACTGGCTGTGGGCTTCGTGGCACAGTCAGTCACCAGGATAGTAACATGTTTTAGATTGACCTACACAACTAAGATTTTGTGTGTGTGTGTGTGTGTGTGTGTATGTATATAATCAAGAGACATCTGTAATAATCGTGTAGATTTTACATAGAATGATGTCAAGTGACTTGACTTGCACAGAAATTTAACTGGTTCCATGAAAAGAGACTAGCCTTTGCCTTCGAGCATTTGGTGGTTCTAAAGATTTGTGTAATTGAACAAATGTATTGAGTTTCTGCAAGTGCCGGTCACTTCTACAGCAGTGAACAATTTACACTGTAGTGGAGGGAGATAACTAAAGATGATAAATATAGCTTCACAACTGGAGTGAGGTTATGAAGATAGTTGCTTTCTCTTCCCAGTCACCCAGGTTACTTTGGGAAGGTTGGTATGAGGCATTACCACTTAAAGAGAAACCAGAGCTTCTGCCCAACTGTCAACCTTGATAAATTGTGGACATTGGTCAGTGAGCAGACACGAGTAAATGCTGCCAAAAACAAGACTGGAGTAGCTCCCATCATTGATGTAGTGCGATCGGTAAGTGAATTAGATATAAATGTAACTATCCTTTACTCCCTTGCCTGTCTTGGTCTATTTTCCCTCTCAAGTGAAAATTCAGAGTATATAGATCCATCAAATGGTTTGCTTGTGTTTCTGGAAAAACCTTTGGAGAATAATCTTTATACTCCCATTTATTTCACTACATTTTCACTGAGTGCCCTTCCAAACAGTAATCAGTGCCTAAGGTTGTTGCCCCAATTCGAACAGCTTTACATTCCTTGGCTTGAGCTATAACTGGCTCTAGTCTTGAGCCAAAGTTCATGGCCCTACATTATCTGAAGAGATCTTCTGAAAAAATGAACTTTTTTATATATTATTGAGTCTTAACGTCAGACTTATCTCCTGTGAATATGGAAGTAGTCTTTAAGAGAGACCTAAACCCTAGGAAGTTATTTGGGTAGCTTTGAATCTCAGTTCCTTATTTAATGCCCATTTAAGCAATATTAGTGATCAGGACTTGAAGCATTGCTGGGAATGTGATTGTGCTTGGGGGGGGGGGGGGGACCAGGAGAGAAAGATCTGTGCTTTGCTGAGACTGAAGTCACACCCTGACACTATTTGTCCTGGGATGCTAGAGTTCTCGGAGAGAATTTGCTAGTCTTCATTCAGTGGTGGAGGCTATTTGTGCCCATCAGAAACATGGCCTGTCTGGGTCCTATAATGATTGGGTTGACAGGCCTCTACCAGGAGGTATATAACCTGCCACACATGGTATGTTTAAGTCCTTTGTCTTTGTTCTTCTAGGGCTACTACAAAGTTCTTGGGAAAGGAAAGCTCCCAAAGCAGCCTGTCATCGTGAAGGCCAAATTCTTCAGCAGAAGAGCTGAGGAGAAGATTAAGGGTGTTGGGGGGGCCTGTGTCCTGGTGGCTTGAAGCCACAGAACAGGCATTCATTAAATGCTAACACATGGTTTTCATTTTCTGGTCTGAGTGTAGGTTCTTTATTATCTCTTCATCTCTATCTCTGTGTTGGGAAATCCACCTAACAGGTTGCAAGAATATTAGGGGCATGAGCTTTTCTGTTGATTCACTTCAAAGTGTGTCAGATCACACCAGTTAAACTTTTTCATTTAGTGAGAGTGATTGCTGGTGATGGCTGACATGCATGTCAAAAGGCCTGGCCTGTTGGCATTGTTGTGGAGGTTATAGCAAGTACGTGAATGTACCCAAAATTGTTTTGTGGGCCTGGAAAGGAAAAATTAGACATTTGGACTGAACCCTCCGAGATACAACCAGAATATGACAAGACCTTGACATGTAGGCCCCTAGAGTGAGAATTTAAACATACCGGGGCTGGGCCAGTGATTTAGCTCAGTGGTTCCAGTGCCTGCCTCAAAAGCACAAGGTCCGGAGTTCAATCCCTGGTACCAAAAAACAAAACAAAAACATACCGGGCCTTTTACATAGGTTTGTTAAGTGGATTGGACTCCAGGAAGCAGCTATAAGGGATTTGTGAGTCCTGGTGCACAGTGGTCTTGATACATGGAAAAATGAGAAATCCTGAGTGAGGGCCTTAAAGAGCAACATGGCTTAATGGGAATCCACATATCTCCAGGAAAATTGTAGTTAAACCATTTTTATAGCTCTGAAATTTTGAATTTGTTTTGACCCAGGGTGAAACTTAGTCTAGTATTGTGAGCAAAGAAATAATAAAGGTGGCACTTAATTGGTTTTAGCTGGAAGGTGGGCCAGAATCATGATTTGTGGGACAAACCTGTTGTAACAGACTTAAAAGATGTTGAAGATCAGATACAAGGAAGCATGGGATAGAAAACAGTTGACTTGGCTAAGAATAGAGAGGAGTCAGGAAAACTATTCAGTTGGACTGTTTGGGTTTGCATCTTTGTAATGGTCTGATGAAGAAGGTAAAAACGGGCTCTTCACTGAGGTAGGTTTTTGTGCACAGTACTAGGGGTTGAACCCAGGGCCTTCACACTGCTACACCCTCATCCCTTTCTAAAATTTTGAAAAGGATCTTAGTAAATTACCCAGGCTAGGCTCCAACTTGTGATCCTCCTGCTTCAGCCTCCCAGAGTGCTGGGGTACAGATGTGCCTCACACACCCAGGTCCATTCAGTAGTTGAGACTGATACTGCTAATTTGCTTTTTACCCAAAGATGTGACTTTCTAGGCCTAGTTCAGTTTTAAGTTTTAGGTTAAAATGCCTGCTTGAGATTGTGCAGTTGAAGTAAAATGAAAAGCATGCACCCAGCCTTTGTGTTTGACTTGTGGAATAAATTTAATGGAGCGCATGTAGTCATTTAACCCGTTGTCTGCCAACAAGTGGTCCAGGAGGAAGGAATACCAAAATGGTGAGTTTTAGGGGAGTACTTTGGGAAAATCAGGCAAGTGGAATTAATGGTTCTTGGAGAGATTACTGGACAGCCTGTGTAGTTGAGGCTGGGCTAGTGGGAGGCTGGAGGCAGGACCAAGAAAATGAGAATGGGAAAGGTAGGATTGGACTGGGCTGTGTTACTGAGTTGGTGAGGCGCACGCCACGGAATGGAAGGGTGGGGTGTTAAGGGTGCATCCACGCTAACTGCATATCTACGGACAAATAGGATTGGGGGGAGGGCGGTCCCGGTAAATTAAATACAAAAGTCGCTAATACTGTAAATAGGAAGTGCTCCCAGATGCTGCCCCATCTTCTGGCCTAGGAAGAACAGCTGTACTTTTGGGGACTACAGACAAACCTTACATTTTCGTATTCCAGTTGAGAGTGACAGGTGCCACTGCTCCGTTATTACAGAATAAGATCTCTTCAGAAGATTCAGTGCAATGAATTGAACCCACAAACACTGGCATTTTTAGGCTCACACTGCCACTATCTTCAGTGGCTAATTCACAAAGTCGGTGAGATCCTCCCAAATGTGGGAAGGAGAGCTTTATCAGATGGGCTTCGAGCTTTTTAGTAATGTACCTTTTAAAATAATTGCGAAAATGTACTACTTAGCACATTAGTTGATTCAGCTTTACTTTTTCAAATTGTAAAAGGTTATAATTTCTGGCCTCGTGTGTTTTTAATCTTCATACAAATCTCAGAGCTTCCAGTATAATTTAGGATTTATCTGAAAGGTCTGCCACATAAATTCACAAAAGCAGTCCCTTAAAATCGGCTAAACCGATAGGATTTAAGTTTTCAATTCAAGTAAACGTACTAATCCCTAGTGAGTGTGCAGCCCAAAAGCCATGGCCCTCTGGGACCAAAACTATCCGGAAGCGAGCGCCGCTGACAGCAAAAGGGCGGCTTCCGCTACCCCCGTCCTTTACCCACCAAGCTTCGCGTCCCGCCTCTGGCCTGGAGAGCCACTTCCGTACGGCGTATGGCGTGAAGTTCTAATTCCGGGGGCCCTCAACTCCGCTCCCCCGCCCCGTCACGCGGCCGGAAGCACTACCGGCGCCGTTCCCGTCTGGATTGGTCGCTTCCGGCGGAGGGCGGGACCAGCCTATGTTGCGCCAGCGCTGTTTCCTCTGGCGAGGCGGGAAGTTCGACCTTGGTCCCCAGACGCCTTCAAACTGAGCTCCGGGCGCCCTTAAGAACAGGAGCCGTGGTCCCTGTACACTGTCATAATGGGATTTCCGAACCTTGACCACTTTTGACTCTTTTCCTTGTCTAAAAGGTTATGAGTGCCTACTATGTTCAAGAGTACCTTGAGCTAAAAAAAGAAAATGCTTGGGGCTCAGTGGCAGCGCTCCTGCTTCACAAGCACAAGATCCTGAGTTCGATCCCCGATACCGAAAAAGAAAAAATGCTTCTACATGGCTGGAAAAAAACAAAACAAATAGAATATGCTCTTCTGTGCTTTGGGGAGGGTGCTGATGTGTTTTGGTACTTTTTTTAAAAAATGCATATTTCATATTAAAAGGCAATATAAATGCACAAGAAATGTTCAAAAGCTGCAAGAAACTTTCTGAGGAAAAGTATTTTATCTAGTTTGAAAGTGTTCATGACCTTTAAATTATGCCACCTCCACAGGCAAAATGACGTTTGGAATGCATACTACCACTTTTATCTGGCTAATTGTGTCTCACTCCTAGGAAAGATATAGTTTAAGGATATGTGTCTAATCCCTCCCTTTATTGTATGTCCCAATTTTTATTGTTATTTCTTAAGTTGTTGTAAATACCGTTAGTGTGTCCCTGTAAGTCATTTGGGGTACAAGGAAGGTTATACATGTGAAATAAAGTATTTTTAAACAAATATTTAACTGAGCAATGATTATAGACTTTTCTTGGACCCCTGATGCCACAGACTGTCCAACCTGAACCAGTTTATTACTCTTTTTGCAAGGGTACTGCTGCAAAACATTGCCTTTAAAAAGCCCATATCCTTACAATATTTTGAGGCCATAGTTTACCAGAGCATCATTAAAGAGCATTTAAAATGATGTGTTGGGGCAGCTTTCTTTGCACCAAGTTACACAACAGATTACAGGGGACAACTCATGGCCTTTCTTAACTTCAGGATAGGGAAAAGCTGACATACCTACAGGCACTGGATGGGACTTCCCTGATAGAGGAAACAGAATGGTGTTGTCCTTGGGCAACTGCCTCAGTTGTCAGAAAGGCACTGTTGGAGGACCCTTGTTCTGAATGGCAGCAATACCAGTCTTTAGGAAGATGTCTTAGAAATTCACTGAGAAATTGTTTTTTCACAAAATCATGGATGGGAAGAAACCAGGGATGCTAAATGTCCTGCCAGGTGTGTGGAGGTTGGTCCTACATGACAAACAAAAATCTACATTAGAATCAAATTCCTTCTACAGATTAAAAGGTACCCCTTACCCTTGCCAAGGTTTTCATATACTTCTCAGTTTTCTAAGATTCCAACTTCAGTGGGCCCTCCACTTATGCCCAGCCTGACATATGAACAACTTGGGTTATGACCAGAATTCTGGTTTTAACTTACAACCAAAGTCTTGAGTTACAACCCAAATGCCAGCCACTTGTGCTTCCACGTGGTCTCAGACACAGATTTAACCCTTAAAGAGTTCTGGAAGGAACATTACAACATCCTTTCCTGTGTGGGGTTGAGAAATCCTGGGCCAGTGTCTAAGGACACAGATCATTACAACTAGCCCTCGGGAACAAGTTGAGTTTGTAAGTCAAGGGCCCACTGTACTGTTTAGTCAGGAAAATCTCGTATTTTGTTTTTGTTCAGAACATTACTAAAAATTGTTCATTTCAGAAAACTCCTTTAGCAAATGATAACTACTCAGCAGAATCTGAGTTGCTAACACGACACATGTCTGTCTGCATATGTAGAATCACACAGTAATCCTGTACAGGTTTAGGCATGTGACACTGTTGTACCTTCTGGTAAATGTGCACACTGTGTACACTGTCATGATGGGATTTCTGAACCTTTGAGACTGCTTCCTGTTGTCTAAAAGATGATGAGCGCCTGGTATGTTCCAGGGTACCTCGGGCTAAAAAAGGAAAATGCTTGTACATGCTTGGAAATGTTCTAGAAAACATTTATATCTTTATTTAAATACTTTTATAACAATACTTTCTTTTATTTCTCCTATTTTATAATTAAGATATGTTTAAGTAGGTTATATTATCTATGAATTCTATTTCAGGAGAGTTAATAGGGTAGTTATATTATTTGTTTTGTTTTATCATTGGATCTGATAAGGTTGAGAACCCTTGGTTTAAGGATCCAGAGATCATTTGAAAGCAGAACTTGGAAAGAAATCCTGAACACTTTCAACTCCAAACTAGACCCACTGGACCCATACCCTGCTGTCACCCATAAAGCTTGTGTCTTGGCCATAGCAATCACTGTGTGTGTCCTTGCATCCCACTCCCAGCCCTTGTGTACCAGTACTGGCTTTGACTTGAGAGCTGCAGCTACAGGAGGAGGAAGAAAATGTGCCTCTCTGGGATTTATCCCAGGGTTAAGATGCACTGA